CACGGTGTGATACCCACTTGAACTCGACAGCTCACATGTAGTTAAAAAACCCTTTGAGTCGCCATCTTTGTCAGCAACCGAGATGTAACTTCGACCTCCGGCACCCACGTGAGCACGGCAACAGCATCCCCAACCAACTCAACAAGTTCAGTGCCAGTCATACCTCAGCGATTGAGCAGCGCGACTCCGCTGCGAAACTTCTCCTTGTGCTTGAGGGCTGCAAAGGTGCAAGAATCTGTTACGGCTAGGCACAGCCGTGAGCCCCTCATGAATATCAGAGAGCGAGTGAGAATCCCTCTGAAGGTGCAGCTGGCCTATGGAGCGGCGACGGAAATCAATGAGCTTCTTTGCTCCTTCAGGTAGACCGGTCCGGCTCGCTTTCAGCCGGTTCAAACGGTCCGAATACCGGACCCGGCTCTACCTGGACTACTGGACTGGTTCTCGCCAACGGTTAAAAAGGAAGGGGGTCCGACCGTACGGTGTTTCCGTAGGTCCTGGCTCTCCTTTTCCCACTGAAGCCCGGTAGGAAACGGAAGCCCCGAACTGTACCGGTCCGGTACCATACTTCTGCGCCGACGACCGCTTTAGAAACGAATCAAGTATCACTTTATACAATATTGCAGTTGGAGTTGTTCCTGTCAAATCCTTTTTCAGCTCAAGTCGGGTTCAAGCACGCATTGCTCAGCAATGACGAAGTGACATCTCCATAATCATTCCGTTCAGCATTTTTTTCTCGCTTTCGGATGCGGTTGCTGGTTTGACTTCTGCATGTGCAGTCGTGATACATTTTGCGCGACATTGGTGCAATTTCCCCGACGCCAAACCGGTCATGGTTCTGGCAGTCCTGCTTTGCTTGTCTGTGCCATGCGCTCGCGCCGAGGAGCCGCGCAGAGATGTGCCAGGGTATGCCAGGGTTCGCAGTCTGGCTGGTCAACAGGCTTTGGTGCTTCCCGTCATCGAAAGTTTGGCATTCAACAACCCTGCCCGAAGCTCGGGGCTCTTGTTTGTGCCATGAGAAGGATTGCTATGGCTTTGGCCAAGCTTAGGACGATGTCCACGGAGCTTTGTCGCCAGCTTGGGAAGTGCTGGTGGAGCAGCGGAACGCTGCAGGACAGGGTGGAAAGCTTCAGCATTTCAAGAGTCGGCAGTTCGGGGGCGCAGGGCTTGTACCTGCCAGCGAAGAAGGCCAGCCTCAGAAGCCAATGAGCTCGGATCCTGAGGGCTCCCAACCACAGACTGCTGAAGCCTCGCTGTTCAAGGTCGTGAGGAAGCGGCTTTTCAGTATCGGCGTGTGCAAGACGGGCAGGTGGACTGTCGAGCAAGCCATCCGCCGTGTGCCAGTCGAGCTTGCAAGGTGGACTCCGCACGGCTTTTGCTCGTGTTCGGGTTGGTACCATCCGCCAGGCAAGACAGCAAACAGGGGGCCACGGATGCACTTGCGGCCATGTGAGGCATCTGGACCCATCCACTGCGGAGCTCTTCCGCTGGGAGCGTGATAGCTCCAAGTCAAGCGGCAGTGGGCAGCTTGCTTCTTACCGGTCGTGTCACAAGCGAGACAGGGCTCAAGCGGGGAATTCCAGGCAGTTGGCAACGAGTGCGTTGCAGCGCTATGCCGATGGATCCACGCCTCTTCACCTGGCAGCCACGTGTCGATGCTGCAGTTATTGTGAGATGTTGTACACTGCCTTAATTGCATGCTCTGTGATGTGGCCAACTTGACAAGGTTCGGTCTTTCGGAGTCTTTGGATGCTTTGTTGCATGCCCGTGCTGACGTCCATGCCGCCTCTGATTCAGGTCAGGCGCACATGCTTAACTGCGAGCTTTCATCTCGGTTTCCGATGTGTTTGGCAGGTGTCTTGCCAATCCATGCCTCTGCCATTGCTGGCCATCGCCACTCTCTGGATCTGCTCGTGAAAGCGCGAGCCGACCCCAATGCTCCACACACCTTTGCAAGCACCTCTGCAATGTGACTGGGCAGACAAAGATTTGGAAAGGGCTAGCACCCATGCAGTCGTTGTTGTGCCGCTTTTTGAGGCACTTTGCTGCCGAAATGGGCCACTCGGAGGTAGTGCGGCGGCTGTGCGAACTCCGTGCAAATGTCGAGGCATCGAAGGCCCAGGGAGGCCGCGTGCCTGGCCTCTCGTTTGCCAAGACCAGAGATCCCTGTGTGGTCAGCAGGTACGGCTCTCCACACAGCTGCCGATACGAACAACTCGGCTGTGGTGCAAGTGTGGACGCTCAGTGGAGCTCAGAAGATCTATGGTTTTTCACACAGTGCGAGGCCCTTCTGTCGGAGCCCTGTTCCTGTGACCCCGAAGCGCTGCTGCTGGGCGACACACCGGCCCTGTACCTGGCAGCCAGGAGCCCAAAAGACAAAAAAGACAAACTGAAGCAACCGACCTCGCCTTAGAGCGGACACAACACGAGGCTTCGAGAGGCTTCCCGGACGTGATCGAGGCCTTGCTGGCCGGCGGCGCCAGCCCTGACAGGAACCTCCCCAAGCCTGGAGCCACAGCTCGCCGCTGTGGGGCTACTCTGGCTGCAGAGGACTCTCCGCCAACGCCGACGAATGGGACGGAGTGGAGGCAAAGGGTCCAAGGCCCGACTGGGCACCCTGATGGGCGGCGATTGCTGACAACTACACGTTGGGTCCTGGCAGGCTTATCCTTTGACTGCGGACCCCTCTACGGCCTCTGCGAGTCTTCCGGGCAGTCGGGATGACATGCCGGGCTTCGAGGAGGCGAACGGTGCCACGCCACTGCAGCTCGGCAGCACGTTGTAGTGCCCGTCCCCTCACTTGGCCCCCGAGGCACGCAGCCTGCGAGAACGGTCACCTGCTGGTCTGGCTGACCTGTTTTTTCTTGCTTTTCAAGCTCCGCAGCCTCGCAGCCGAAGGCAGTGCAGGTGCTGCTGGACGGCGGTGCCCGGCAGCTAGCAACGATGCAAGGAGCGGGGAGCGCATGGAATCTGATATGGCCCTGCACATCCTGACGGATAATCTGCAGTTGTGAAGGTGTAACCCCGCTGATCACTGCGCTCCAGTACCGCCAGCGAGCGATTGCCCGGGTACTGCTGGAGAGCAGGATAAATCTGCAATTACCGGAGGGAAAGCCCGCTTGTGCAGCGTAGGACAGGGCTTGCGTTGCCCTGCAGTACTCTCTGGAGGACTCCGGCCAACGTGCACGTGGTGTCCCCTGCAGATGGGCCTCCCGTCAAGAGAGAAGTCATTTTTCTGTTAAGTCCTTTTCTCCTTTTTCTGAGGCAAACGGCCCTGCACGTTGCGGCAGCCTACGGCTTTTCGGAGGTCGTTGCTGGCATCTTGCGTCATGGGGGAGCTTCCGATGTCCAAGATGCAGCAGGCCTAATGCGGCTTAAGAAGCTGGATGGGAGACACGTTGGCTGTTCCCTCCAAGTTTCCAGTGCGCACTGAAAGTTCTTTCCGTTTGTGTGGTGGGTGTCGGGGTGTCGGGGCAGGTCATACCCCAATGGACTACGCCCGAGACAGGCTGGTTCTGTGGTTGCTGGGCCGCTTTCATGGTCGAGATGGCCTCTTGGAGTCTTTGCCCAGACACGGCTGCGTCTGTTTGTCCATTGAACTTGACTCACCTTGCGACTCGTTGGCAAGGACGACGTTGTCCGCCGCAACGTGCTCAACGGACTGGAGGAAATCATAAGCAGCATTGACGAAACGAGAGCGCCAACCTTCAAGAAGGATTTGTACAAGAGTCTCTCCCAGTTTAGCTTGAGAGATCTTGAGGGTCGCCTTCACACCGGTTTTCCGTGCTGTGCTGCAAAAAGTCCGAGGAAGTACCTGCGCGCAAACGAGGAGGGCCTCCTGCGAGAATTGTCCTCTGACCTTGTGACACAAGCGCGAGCAGGCAGACATCTGATGTGGCTTCGTTGGATTTCGACCCCCTTGTTAGTTGCATCCCTTCGGCCCCAGAGCTGTTTCAGGGACTTCTGAAGCGCTGCGGCACCTCGCCGTGGCACGATTCATACTGGCCGGCGCCAGCGACGTGCCAGTGGCGATCGAGGAGACGCTTCAGTTCCACGCCCCTGACTCCTCGACTAGACATGTGTGCATGACGAAGCCATCATCATAACCCCCGACCTGTGCACTCACAAAGAGCCGAAAGGCTCGTCCCAACTCCTGCGCCAGGCACTACTTCATCGCAACGAGGCTTCACTGTGGTCAGCCTTGACATTGCTGGGCATCCCTGTGCGGGATTTGCACTATGTCCCCGGTGAGGACTGAATGTCGTTGGCTCCTACAGTATGGCTTTTCAATCATCAAGTGTCATCATCATCGTCGTCATCATCATTTAAGTCTTCACCCGCCTCTTGCAACAGTGTCTTCGTGGTGGTGATTGCTTTCCATGCAGTCTCCCTCGTGGACCACCAACACCCAGCAGACGAGCACTACTGGTTGAATGCCAGAAGAGCCGAAGGCAAGTCTCACCGTCATCATCATAGTCATCGTCATCGTCGTCGTCCTGACGAGTGAACGGTGATCACTTTCACAGGGCTACATGCAGTGCAAAACTTCTCTACGATCCCACGTTCCCTTGTAAGAAGGAGGGCATTGATTTGAGGGGAGCGTGCATGTCTTTGTCAACGAGTGTCATCCAACTGATCACTTCAGGTGCTCGGAGGTCTCTGAGGCCAGTTCCTTCCATGCGATGCGATGTGTGAGCATAAGAGCTTGTCGGCCACTCTGTCCCTTGTCTCACAGGCAACCTGCGATTTGTCATATCCAGCGCCGCTTAGCAAGTTGCGTTCCATTCGACGACAGAGCCTGACACCTCTTCGCTCTGATTGACGGGCCCTTCACACAATCTTCCAATGGTGCAAGCAACAACCACAGTCATCTTTCCGCAGTCGTGTCCTTCCCACGATCCGGGCTGGATTCGGCGCATGTCTTGCCAGTCTTTCGGAACAGCGTGGAGCTCCACGACTGAGGAGCAATCCTTGTTCTCAGACCCGATGGGACCCGAGATTCAGGGGAAGGCTCGAGTCAGTAGCGGGCACCCAACGGGTTCTTCAGAGCTTTGCAAGGAGCTGCTGCTGAATGGCAGGGACGTGCACCAAGTGATGCAAGAGATCCTTTCTGTCACCCAGGCGGTCGAAAGCCTCGAGCTTGGCCTGCACAAAGGAAGTGACATGGCAGACACGACATGGGCTCTGCAGCGGCTCTGCGGGTTTCCTTCAGGACCTTACAGTCATCGAGCCTCTGTTGTGCCCCAGCTGCAGGCTAATGTCGTTGGAGGTTTAACCTTGCCTTGTCGCTTTTAGGCATCAACTCCGATCGACTTCCGAGCCCTCTGGCACGGAGCACCAAGATCACCACCTCGATATCTGAGAAGCCGTGAGCCATCAGCCGCCACTGACTGGCCACTGCCATCTTCTCGGCCTCGAAGTGGGGAACGTACATGCAGCGCTGCCCGGACCTGCTCAAGTCCGCGATGTGCAGAAGAGGAGCCTTTGACCGAAGCGGTGGCACGTCGGCCGTTGCTTCGAGCAGAGATCTGCGGCGCCATACAGAGCTCTGCGCTGGAGCCACAGTCTCGGCCCGTGCTTTGGAATAGCGCAATGCGAGTCAGCGCGGCTTCGGGGTAAACATGGGCAAACTGTGCGATTTTTCCGTGAGTGAGTCAGAGAGTCTCAAGGCCAGGCAGCGCTCTGAGACCCGGCTCGAGCAGGAGTAGCTGGAGCTTGCAAAGCGTGACACCTGGCGCAACCTCGAGAAGTCCATTCGGTCACGGATGCCTAGGATGCAAGCCCTTGATCAAGCAGCACGCGACAAAGCCACGAAGACAGGAACTTGGAAACTGTAACACTGTAAGCATTTGGACATCATAGAGTAGCCCTATGTAGTGGGGTTCTGTGGCTGCATGGTCCGGTGACCTGAAATGCTTGAAGCATCAACATTTCGCCCACTGAGCCTTCGTCGGTTAGTGCGGAGAGGTACAAGATCCGGCGAAGTTCGCCTGAGGAGCCCTGGCTGGTGAAGTTCTCGCTCAAGGCGCCTTGGCCGACGCGGCGTCCTTTTGAGGCCTCTTGGCGAGACCGCTCCGAACGCGGACATGGCTTCGGCCTCGGGTTTTTGCAGCATCTTGCAGCTTCTTGCTCATGTTCGCGAGCGCTTGGATGATGCGCGAATCCTTCCGATTTCCGGCGTCGTCACGTATACATGTTGATGTCAGCTCGAAACAGAACATCGAAGGAGAGCCACAAGCGGAAGCATGCAAAAGGCTTGCCGTTCATAACAGCTCCTTAGTGGCAGCTGATCGATCAGCTGGTCGATCACCTCCATGCATCACCAGTAATCAATACACTTTTCCGTCAGTCACGTGAATGTCATCACCGCGTGGCAAAGGTTTTTCATTTCAGAACTTCACTCGCCAGGGAAGCACTTCGGGCAGAGGACAGCAGCATCAGGCAGAGAAACAAGACAGAAAGGCCTGCCTCTGCTGAGGGACTTCGGAAATGGCAGTCCTTCGCAGATCGAAAAGAAACAGAGGGTTATTGGCGACCCAGGTGCAGATCACGACAGCCGGACCCCACAGAGGAGAGGAAAGGGTCGCAATCACAACTGCAGCGCACTTGATGCTTCGAGATTCTTCAGTATCCCACTTTCAGCTCTCGGCAGGTCCTGGCAGTCTTCACGGGACCGCAGCCGCAGCGTTCGGTCAGAAGGCCAGGCCCGGGAAGGACCAGTGAGGTTGTCGCCGCTGTCGCCTTGGACCTCCGAAGGCTGTGGCCGCGTGGTGCTGCGCGCTCGAGAGGCTTCGAGGTCCCGGTCTGACAGGTCCGGGCCGCTTTCGCGTGCTCAAGTCCAGGAAGGGGTGCAGGCCCCGACAGAGAGAGCCAGGCGCGCCTTGAGCCCGAGCGTGCCAAGACAACCGCCGCCCGCGCCGCAGTGCGGCAGGTGAAGGAATACATGGAGCACGGAGTGGCCGCGTAGAGGCAAAGGTTTAAGCAATTCAACTCAACGACCAGAATCACGAAAATGCGAAGGAAGCTGACAAACTGAAAAATACCACTGATCATTGAACAAGATAGACGGACGAGAATCCAATCTGGAACGAAAGAGACGCGACAGCGACCGGCAAGAGTTGGGGATTACCAAGTGATTTGAGGCTCGAGTAGCCAAGCGATGCCGAGCCCACGGGAGCCCTTAGGGACCCAAAGGGGCTTGCGCACAAGTTCGCGCGCTTTGCGCATCACCTTCGTACTTCGCAGATTGCGCCATTAATTCTGATCTAGGTCAGTATTTGCCCTTGTTTGGCACGGTCTTCACGGAACTATCACAACTTTGCTCGTACTTGCACTAGGCAACGCTCACGCACGCTCGCGCACGCCATGGAAGCCTCGAGCCCGGTGCCTCCCCAAGCTGCGCCCACTGACACTGGGGCTGGCAGCGAGCAGCCGCAGCAGCCTCCTCCAGCTGAAATGGTAAAGGTAGACCCAACAATTGTGACGCCTGTATAGTCGTCTTGTGCAGTCCGGTGGGAGCGCTTCCTGAACGCATCCCTGCAGCATCGATGCTTCGCAAGCGCAAAAGATCCTGCGAGGTCGGTCAGTGCTGTTGCTTCGCTTGCTGGTTGCTTGGTTACCTTAGTGTTGCTTCGCTGATGGAGGCGTCTGCGGCTCCAGCTAGCTGCGTCGGAAATCCCCGAGCCAGGGGGCCCGGATCCATGGGATGAAGCGGATCCTTGGGGCGATGGAGATGGGTGATGTTTCGCTTCAAGGAGATCAAGCTGCATGTGGAAGTGCCCAGCAGAGATCTTCCCCCGCCTGAAGGACCAGACCGTCATGTGGAGCAGAGCGGTCGAGAAGGATGGTGGGGCACGGCGGCTGTGCAGCCGGCTTCAGATGGGCGGCTTTGGCTATCCCCTGGTTTGTGGGTGGCCTCCTGAATATGCAGCAGTTTTCCGAGATCTCGGTGGTTGCCATGCAGTACCACCTCCTTGGTTTAGGCCTTGGTGACCTGCCCCACCTTCCTCCTCGTCGTGGTATGTGCCGTTAGCTGAAGCTGGGAATGCCACGGCCGGATCGGCGGCACCGGCGGCATCTGAGAGATTGCCATCGGCTTCGGCTTCGACTACGAGGCCTGCTGAAGTTTCTGAAGGAGGCCGTGCCGGGCGACTGCAGTGGAGGCCGAACGTGGCTTTTTTGACTTCGCCACATGGTGGTGCTGGCGGTGCAGGCGAGGATGCTGGTAGCAGCAGAGCTTGTTGCGCCGCCGAGCCAAGGAGCAAGAGAGGCCGAAGTCGAGCATCGGATCGGTGAGGATTGCGGACTTCTTTAATTGGTGACCGTAAGAAGTTCAAGGCCTGGCGGCACGCAACCGCGGCTCAGGAGCACTTGTACCGTTTGGAGCAGTCTTTGGAGCAGTGGAACTGGCGATGCTCATCTACTTCAGCACCAAGGGCGAGGCGAGGGACATTCCGGACCAGAGGCCCCTTTCTGACAAGACCTCGGTTGGGGGCTTGGCGGTCATGTGGAGCCTCTTGGAGGAGACGTTCGGCGAGTCGAATGCGGAGATGCGGAGAAGGAGCTGCCGGCCTACAGGCGGTTGCCGGGACAGAGTGTGGCTTCTGACGTGGCTGGATTTAAGCGGCTGAAGATGAAGTACACTGTGGAGGACCCGGACAGTACCTGAAGCAACACGGCCTGGGCCCAGCGACTCCTGAACCGCGCTGCCCTGTGACAGGCTGGATGTCGCGCCGAGGCCTGCTACGACACGGACTCCATCGAGAAGGCCCTTCGCCACAGGTGTGCCCGCATCCATGAGGAGGAGAGGCGACTTGCGGGCTATGACGTGCTCCAGCCCTTCTTCTGTGCTCTCGGGTGCCTGAAGCGCAAGAGGTCGGGGTCTCCGAAGCAGCGGAAGACAGTCTTAGCCCCCGAGAAAGAAAGCCAAGTCATGGTTGACCCCGATTTTTGGGAACAATGTTGTTTCATGTCGTTTCAAAAGCCCCTTTAAGACCTTTGTTCTGAAGGGGTGGCTTTCTGCTCTTCGTGTGGCCCTCGGCTTTGCAAACGGGAGTGGACTGTGGTGGATGGTGCACCCACTGGCCCTGTTCCAAGCGTTGCCCCGGCTTGCGAGTACGGCTGCTCCTTTGTCTGCTGCGCCATGTCGGCCAACGCATGTGGAGACTGCCAAGACGGCTGTTGGCAAGAGCAAGATGAAGCTGAAGCCGTTGGAGCTCCTTGGTGCCGTGGACCAGCTCACCAAAGATCCGAACGGTGCTGCGAAAGGAGGAAGACGAGGCCTGGGCTACCCTGTATGGCCCCAGGCCCTATGGCGCAGATGCTGCTTCGGCATCAGCCCAGCCTTTGCATGGGGCTGGGTTTTTGGACAAGGCGGCGAAGGCAGCAATGAACTTCGAGCCGGGGGTTGGGGGAGGTGATGATCTACGACCCAGTGGCCGAGCACGGGCTTTGTACAACGAGCTGGTGCGACCACCTTCCCTGATGGATGCAGCCGGCAGTGACAAAGCTAAGTCTGTGCGCCAGCTGGAGGACTTTCGCCGGGAGTTGTATGAGCGTCAAATGGATGGCCACCGATGCACCCCGAGTGCAGCTGCCCATCGGCCTTCGGAGAAGCAAGCTCGCTGTGTGCATGCCTTCGTGGTCTTGGTGTGGACAGCGAACCAGCGCGACCCGCTGCGACCTCAAGCATCTGAAAAATTACAGTGTGCGACACAATCCGCCCAAGTACAAGACCAGACACTTTTCAATGTGAGAGATGTCCGGGCAACTTCCCTCTTCACAGCCGACGAAATTAATTGTGTTGTATGCAAGGCGAGTGTTGTCGCGATCCTATGCGATTGTGCAGTGTTTGCCTTGAGCGCGCCGCTGGTGCTCCTGCCACACCCAACGATACCGGCGGTGGCGGATTGCGTCAAGTCGATTGCATTGAAGAAAAAGATTCAGATCCGAAACCGAGCATATGCACACGATTAGCGGAAGACTCGGCAGTCGTGTGGCTCCTATACGATTGCCTCAGACCGCATGTGACGGGTGATTCAACCTTCAAGATCATCGATCTTGTGAAGGTCAGCCTCGATCGCTTCAGATATGGGGTTGAAGAAAAGCGGCTCGAGGCCTTTTGCGACAAGTGGGATCACGTCCTCGTTGGCATTGCCGTTGATCGCCCTGAGGATGGAATGCTCTGTGCTCTGTTTTGCGCACAAGTCCGAGAGCTTCACTGTCTCAAGCTCGACATACAGCTTTGGGACAGGGACGCATCAGTGCGAAACTATGCGTACCTTCGGAACATGTGCGCCAACGCGATTACCACGTGGCGCAGAAGACGAAATCAGGAGAAGATGTACTCAGCAACCCGATCGTCGTCGGCGCGACGCCGTAGTGCCGCTCCTGCGCATGGCAGTCCACATCGGACTGGCTCGCGACATGGGAGAAGATCCTATGGCCTCGGGCGCAACCTGAAGGGGTGACCTTGCTCGATGAGATCGAGGCGGGGTCCGCTCCTCACCCCGGAACGGATGAGTTACGTCCGGTGAGGATGATGATGATGGTGAGGAGGAGGCTAGCCGCATAGCTTACCAGATGCAGCACGTTCAAACAGAGAGAGTCTAGTGCTAGAGCAGTGAAAGCGTATGTGGAACAACACCATGGTTACAATGGCGGATTGACTCTTAACCAAGATAAGTGTGAACATCTCCGTTTCCATTCCACCCAACGTATTTGTTACTCGCCCTCCATCTCCTGTCCCTGCGATTGCCGTTCTTGTTCAGGTTGCGATCATGACCTCAACCCAATCCCTCTTTCGGAGGAAGTTAAGTATCTGGGAATTTATCTAGATGCATTTTCCTCAAACCGATAAAATCTCCATTATGAAGTTTCTCAGGCCATTTCGGTCTCTAAACTCCTGCGTCCCCATTGGCGCATTCTGCGCCTCCTCCATCCTGGAAACTTACGGTTTGCAGATCAGTGGTGTTATATATCCTGACTTACGTTTTGGACAGCGCCTTACTTTCACTTGCTCAGATTCAGAAAATGAATACAGTGCACTTCAAGTCTCTTCGCCGCATTTTTTAATCAAATGCTCGTTTTACCATAGTGTTGTAGACCCTACTACGGCAGACTGTTCCAATGAATAACTAGCCGGCTTGGCTTTCTCAGCGTTCCCACGCCCTCCCAGCTATACTCACAACAGACGCTAGAGTACCAGGTGACATTTATGGGCTCTCATGCATATAAACATGTGGCGTCGCCGAATCGGCCTGGAATGCCGCGGCCGCATTGGGCCGAATCCTGCTTGACAGAAGCAGCGCAGAGGATTGATTTTATGGCCTCAGATGCTCCTCCTTCACTTTTCTTGCTATACCTCGATATCACACATACAAGGCGCCCATGGTGCCTCGTCAATTGTAAGAATGGACAACACTCCTTTGTACCGCAAAGTGCAGCCTTATTGCCAGAACCGACAGGAAGACTCTTATCCGCAGACCCGGCTCCACGAGGCATGCGAAACTATAATCCTTAGATACTAGTTTATCTTTTGAAAGCAGCAGGTGCTGACGGGCAACAGACATCTGTGCCCTGCGCGTTCGAAAAAAACCAATTGATTTGCTGTGCAGCAAGGCAAAGGTGTTAAACGGCGGCGTGAATCTAAACGCAGTTTGTGGTTTGTCACAGCTTTCTGGATCCAGCGGTGGTTAAACCCATGCACGCCGTTGGTGTTTCATGAAATGAGACTGAGGCGGCGGCGACGCCAGGGAGTGCCACGGAGCAACTCCGAGGTGGGGAGACGGTGGGCAGCTCAGCGTTCTGCCTTCGCGCTGACCTGCTCGCCACTGCCAGCCACCATTCGCAGGGATCGTTCAAGGCTCCGTGGCCAAAGTGCAGAGCCTGTCCGCACCCCGAAAGCTCGGAAACGGGCGCTGCCGAGGGCAGCGGAAAAGACCCGAGCGCCACTGCCTGACCGGCCTGACCGGAAGCTCGATCGTCTCGATCGGGAGCCGGAGCCCTCCAGAGAACGCTCAGAACGGGCCTCCGACTCACGAGAATCACGAGACCGCGAGCGGCGGCGACCTGAGAGCGAAGACATCAGAGACGGCCAAGAGCCAAGTTAAGCCCCGGGAAGGTCTGCCAGGGATCGGCAGCAAAAGGAGTACATGCAGATGGCAGCCCAGCAGGCAAAGCTCTGCCGCAAAGGGCGCAATTCGTCATGAGCTTTGTTCCAACTTGACGGCAGCTTGGCAATTGCAAGAATGGCCTGTTGTAGGTTCAGACATTAAAGAGTCGCGTCGTTGGCTTGTAGTAGCAGCTTCGTTGTAAAGTTTGTGCGCTGCAGAATCCTGCGAATGTGCGAAGCTTTCTAGCTGGCACGGACCGTTTGCCCATGCGGTGGCAGTCGTGTGTAGACTCCAGCGCGCAGACTTCGCCAGCGTGATAGTGATGGACCACTACAGGGCTGATAGCTGTTCTGTCGGGAATGCGCAATCTGCGCATCGTGCTCCTCTTTCTGCAAAGTCTCGGACGATTTGCGACCCTTTCCCTCTTGGGATGCCCGGCAGAGGATGCACGAAGAAGTTCGCAAGCTCGCATGAAGCAGATCTTCTACAAGATGCTCGACACAGGGGGTGCGGCTGAGTCGGTCGAGGTGCTGAGAGACTTGGAGCTGCTGATGACTGAGCACGGCGAGACGGCGGAGCTTCGGCACTTACCCGAAGAGGCCCAAGCCTTCGCGAGTTCAGAGCGGCTGCCGTGCCTGCCGGGGATCCTCGGCACGGAGCTCCTGCAGCTGCTGTGGCTCGCCGGTGTCGGCCAAAAAGTCCAGGCTTTGGAATTGCTGCTCGAGAGCCACCGACACTTCACGCTCCTCTCCTCCTGCTGTGCTAATTAGCATCATTGTTTTCAACCCGTCGGATATAGCAGAAATCGCTGTTTCTTTCACGTTGTCTTGGCTTCAAGGTTTCTGCGTGTGACTCCATGGGCGTCGCTTCTGCAGTTGGGTTACGGCTTGATCTTTGCGCTTGGCCAGATGTCCTGTGCAGCCATACCACCTCCTGAGAATGATGCTGCCGCGGCTGCTGAGCACTTTCACGGATCTTGGCCCGGGTCGCTGCCCACGGAGGCGACAGTCTTCAAGCAGTTCCATGTGCTGACGGGGTTCCATTACCGCCGCTGTGCCCGCCGCTTCTTGGGCTACGACAGAGCCGAGAGAGCCTTGGCCAGCTGCGCGCCGAGAGGACGCGGCGGCCGCGGCGGGGGCGGATCTGCCTGGCCCCACCGGCAGCTGGCAGGGGCCCCGGCCCCCAGGAGACTGGTCCGAAGGTCGTAGATGTTTTGAAGCTCTCAGGTGCTTCTGGCTGCACGACAGCCCTGGGCCTGCGGCTTGGCCTGCCACTGGGCTGTGGCCTTTGCGACTCTGGCGCAGGCTGTCCGTGATGGTGGCAACAGGCCGAGAGCCCTGTCGGAGGACCAGCGGAAGCTCGTCCAGGTGAGATAGCGTGGGGCGATGTCGCGAAACGAAACAAAGAGACACTGCGAGCCTGCTTTTGTGGCAGGCCGCGCAGGACGAGTTGCAACAGGCGGCAGAGATGCGATGGAGCCCCACATCTCGTCAAACCCCGTCAAACCCAACGATAGGTGGAAGCAGCGGTTTGGAGCCTGGATGGACATGATCAGGCGGCCGTAGAGACTGCCTTGCACCGGCTGAGGTAAGCAAAGAGCTTTGCTGCAGCAGCGCTTTGCAGTGCTGGCCCTGTGCCCCGGGCAGGTCAAGGCGAGCTGCTCCTTGTCGCGTGCGTACCCGGTCTGGACTTTGCTGGCACGGCTTGGGCTCGGCACTCTCTCAAAGCTGGAAGGGCGGCTGCCTGTTGACTCGTCCATGCCACAGCGGTTCCCGAATCAGCCACCTCCGCCTACCCTAGCCAAGCAACATGGATGCCTTGGACTTGGTTCCTTTCATAGTTGAAATATTTCTGTAGGCTCCTGCACTGTGTCGCGCTTCTCTTCCTGGAAGGCTCTGCGACCGGGTCCAATGGCCTCCTGCACAGAGCCTGACAGCACAGGGCACGCTTGCGGTGTATTTTCTGGTGAAGACTGTCGGAGGGTTGCTGGACGAGTTTGGTGTCAAATGGTGGATGTCCTCTGGTGCGAACTGCCCATTTCAGCCAGACTTTGTAGTAGGATGATTTGGACTTGAATGATCCATTGCATATGCGTCCTGAGTTCAGAGAGTTCACCTCCAAGGGACTTCTGGGTGCAATGAGAAATGGAGGTATCCTGCCACAGGACTCAGCGATCGTCATTACTTGTGTGATGTATGCCATGGCCCTGGCCACTGCTCCTTGCGTTTGCCAGGATTGCGATGTCGATATCGCAGTCTGGCGTCCGGATGCTCACCAGATGGTAGGAATTCCTTTTCGCACCGCGCTGGTGGCTGCGGGCATCGCGATGTATCATATGCCAATCTACCTTCAGTACCGCTTCTGCTTGCTGCAGGTCCCGGCTGCTGCGGACTTGCGGTCGGTGGATGGTGGCCTGGCCTGCCATTTGCCTTACATCGACGCCCACCTGGCCGACCGAAGCTCTGCACAAGATTGGCACTACATTCACCGAACCGAGCTCCGATACGCGCAGAGCTTCCCTTTGGCGGGCCTCCTCGGCCCTGCTGGCGAGGATCGGCGTGAGCGACGGCTCTTTGGAAATGTCCATGTCTGGACCATCAGAGAGAAGGAGGCGGAGCAGTATCTCAGCAGTTTGTACGGGCACGACTGGAAGACCACGCTGCGCGGTCGCTATGGTCAGCTCGTCCACAACAGCAGCGAAGGATTCCATAGCCTCATTGCTCGTCCCACAGGCCTGCATGTGTGAAGCTGCTAAGCCTGCTAAGTTAAGCACCGCATCCCAAAGGTCCTTTGCGGGACGTGATCCAGGAGTCACTCGGCAGAGAGGGGAGAGAGCCCCCGAGAGGCTCGGAGCATTGGAGCCGAGTCGCCGAGGCAGCGGCTGGTGGGGAACTTGCTGCCCGGAGCAGCTGTCGACTGTCGAGCGGACTGCGACCTCTGAGCAACAAACGTGCTTCAGTGCTTCCCGCACCTCCATGCCTGATATGTGAGATCGTCTGAGCGACAGGCAGCCTATATGCAGTTCATGCACAATCCGGGATACATGGCCATCTACTCAGCGAGTATTAATTCACGCTTTCGGAAGCAGCCCACCTGCCGAGCTTTGGAAGGCCATGATGCAGCAGATGGGAATGATGCCGCCTCTTAGCCTTGTGAAGGTTGCGAGTTGAGACCACGGCATGGGGTTCTTATGGCACCTGAGGCCCCACATGATGCCGATGGGCATGAGGCCCTGAGACCTGCCGCGTCTTGCCGGAGCACCTTTGAGCGCTGCAGGTGGGGCCCCAGCATGGGCCCGGGCGTCTCGAACTCGCGGTCAGGCGAGCCGCCCCCTAGTGGCATCTAGTGAGGCCTCGAGTCGTTCGCTTTGCGCAGGCAAGCGATCCTCCAGCAGCGAGAGCAAGTCGGCTGCAGCGTTTGCATAAAGTTTGCATCTGCGGAACTATTCGGCTTTCAAGGCTATTCCAGCAAGTCACGCAGAGAAGGCGAGATTGGAGCAAAACCTGACATCGGGAACAGAGCCTGGTTCGCGAGCATCAGGCGCGCAGCCGTCTGCGAGTGCGAACTTGGCATCTGAGTTGGAGGAGCAATGGGTTGGATTCAACCGTACTTGGCTGCTTTCTGTGAAGAATGAGGTTGATGAAGGCAAGAAGTTGAAGACAATATTGCGACGAGGGGCGATGATGACGACCTTGCACTGTTGCTTTTTTTTTTGCTGCTGCTGCTGCTTTGGCTTGCGTTGTATTTGTCGTTGTTGCTTTCGCTCTGGCTGTGGCTGCAGCTTCAGCACTCTCGGTCTGGATGCAAAGCATGCTTGAACAGGAAGGTCAGCGTTGCTAGAGACAGGCATCCTTGGTTGAAGGTATTTGACTAACCTAGGTCCCTAGGTGCTGATGAGAGTTATGTGTGTGGTTGCGCTTGCAAGAAAGCGTATTGAGATATACTGCTGAAGACGGGTTTGCCGGGAAGTCTGAAATCAACTTTTCCAGTACTTGTCCATGACTGCAGCAATTTATCTGGTTATGGCTATCGCCCGTGGAATCTATCGAGTTCGTTCTCTCGCAGGAGTTCCTGCAGGCAGCCAGCGACCTCGAAGTCGAGGTGGCGACAGAGCTGAAACATAGCGGATGCAAAGACGCCGTGTTGCATGGAATCTGGTCGCACATCCGGCTCGAAACCTGTCCAACGGCAGCTTCTGAGTTGTCCCTTCGAACATAGTCGATATCATTATATCATGTGGTCGGACTCCCCGAGCTCGTTCAGAAAGTACCGGGAGCAAGCTTAAGCCTGCGCGTTGCTGTCAAGTTGCCTGATCTCATGGGTCGCAAGCGTCATGCCCTGGGTGCACCGGGCGAGGAAACGGCCGTGGACTGGGCACTTGCGCATGCGAGTTCAGTCCGCGGGCTGACGGGCACTGGCAGCTTCTCCCCTGAGGTTTACGAATCATCCGGAGATCCGCTCCTATTGGCGCTTTTCCAAAGCGACGGTGAGGGTGCAAAACAATTGCCAGGTCCTCGGAGTTTGCTCCGCAGGCAAGCGACAAGTGGCTAGCTGCACTGAGGATCGAAGCTGGCGCCAATGTGCAGGACTTCCGTTTGGTTTCGAAACTTCGCCGTCTCAGTGATTCGTGCAGGCGACGGACCATATGGGCTGGACGCCCCTGCACCGCGCATGCTTTGCAGGGCTGGCGGAGGTGACAGGAGATGGGATGGGGTCGACAGTGAGGCTGTAGGTAAGGATTGGCTTTGCAGGACTGCTGCTTCGACAACGGGCGGATCCATCAGCGGTCCGCTGCCTCAGACGGTGGCAGCCCGATGTCGTGTCGTGCTCCCCGCCTTGAGCCATCCCCTAAAGCCCTCGATCCTGCCTGGCCGTCCTGTCCCATCCTGCGCTCCGTCTCCCCTCTGGCCCTTCCACGTCCACATCCTCGGCGTTCCGCCGCGACCGTGCCAGCTAAAGCAACAGTTATCTTTAGGTCCAGGGTACCCTGGATTGCTTGGGGTTGAGCGCACCTGTTGTTCGAAAACTTCGGCCCAAATCTTAGCAGCTAGAGCAAGGGTCATTTCCCAGTTCATATCACCACACACCCCCATACCCCCCTACGCTTTTACACCATT